AGCGCACTGAGTCATCAGCCATAGTCATATGACTGTACATGCACCATTGTTCGAATGTGCCCCACGCCTTCTCCTTAAGCACCGGAAAGGGAGAAAAAAAAAAGCGCGAACAAAGCGCACTGAGTCATCACCCATAGTCATATGACTGTACATGCAGTGTTGTTCCAATGTGCCATGGGCATTCACCTTATGCACCTGAAAGGGAATGAAGGAAAAAAAAATCATACAGGAAGCGTTGAGACTGTATACCAATACTTACAACGCATCTTTAATTTCTCTTATTGCAAGTGTGTTACTTGGTGTTAATAGTCATGTCAAGAAAACCCGTATCTATCTATCTATCTATCTATCTATCTATCTATCTATCTATCTATCTATCTATCTATCTATCTATCTATCTATCTATCTATCTATCTATCTATCTATCTATCTATCTGTCTGTCTGTCTGTCTGTCTGTCTGTCTATCTATCTATCTATCTATCTATCTATCTATCTATCTATCTATCTATCTATCTATCTATCTATCTATCTATCTATCTATCTATCTATCTATCTATCTATCTATCTATCTATCTATCTATCTATCTATCTATCTATCTATCTATCTATCTATCTATCTATCTATCTATCTATCTATCTATCTATCTATCTATCTATCTATCTATCTATCTATCTATCTATTTGTGCATAGTCAGCAATCCACCCACACATGTAACACGTCATTGTTTCAAGTGTTCCACACGAGTTAGTACCTTTGAAATCTGGGATACCACTGTTCCCTTTATTCAGAATATCATTTCGGCATTTAAAGATATAGAAGAACTCGCATAAAATGCGACGAGTCATCGCCTGTATCGTGTTAATGTGGTTTCCTTTAGCCATGTTTCGTTTGATATAGTTAAATTCAGTTCGGTTTAAAAAGCATGACACGTACCAGTACCATCTTCAAGTGATGAACACATAAATGCTTGTTGTTCGTTCCCATGCGTCGCGAACTAATAAAAATAAAATAAAAATTTTAGATTGCAAGTAATTATCGCAAGAGAAGCAGCTAACGAAAGTGCAGAACAAGGTCGCCACGATGAGGCATGACGAAGACGTTCTGTTTCTAAGGGGAACGACCTCTGAAGAGTTGCACATGCCCATTCAACGCACAGAAGCCTCCGCACTGACATAAAAAATAATCATCTTTCCCTGTTTCACATTTTTTGCTGCTCAGCGATAGATAAGGCGCGAGGTTTTAGTATGTACGAACTAAGCACTCCACGCAGTGCGCAGAAAAACAAACGGCGAGTAAGCAGTGTGATAAGGCCAGCGCTGCCTTGAGAACTATACACGTCGTCTGCTATACACCGGAGCGAAAAGCAGACGACTCCTTGCGCGTGAATTCTCACGATAATGCATACGCAGTAAGCCCTTTGAAACGGCGATAAAGAGCGCAGTCACGCAAGCGAGTTTGCGTGATGTAATCGGCTCGTGCTGACTCGACCGATGTCGTGACGACAGGCCGGCTCTATAGATTACGAATGACAGGTCAAGTGCGTGCGTTCACGTGCAGGCTTGCGGGAGTGGTGACGTAAGCCGTATTAGTGTGTACGTGAGGCAAGAAAAACAGACAGACAGACAGACAGGCAGATAGATAGATAGATAGATAGATAGATAGATAGATAGATAGATAGATAGATAGATAGATACTACAGTGCTCTAGATATAGAGATAGTGTGCGATGTCAGTGCCCATTGAAGATGGTGGTAGTTTCCGAAGCCCTCCTCTATATGGCATCTCTCGTAATCATTTCGTGGTTTAGAAACGTTAAAACCCAGATATTTTTATTACCCGGACAGGATACGTCGAGGCAGCATTCCACGAGGAAATCGCGCGTTCCGTCGAGGCAATCGGTGGAAACGCGTCTATATAAGTATCCGTCGCTCCGAGCTGGCCTATAGATAGCGCGTCCATCAGCAAACGATTTTGTGTTTGCTCGAACTTCTAGAAATAGATAAAGGAAAAATGTGACAAGCTGAACTAACAGCTTCTCCGTGTGTACACAGGCGCGAAGCTCTCGTCCCGATGCGAGGTCCCGTTGAGATTGGTGACCTCATGCAGGTCTCAATTTGAGATCAGGCATAACGTGAACGGGCGGTGATAGGGGGTGTCCTCAGCTGCTCAAGCTCTTCGGTAGTTAAAACACAGCACAAGCAATCCCCCTCTCTTCGCTTAAGAAGAAAAAAAAATCCAGGCCCCAACTCCCACTGGAGAGGAGATTGATTCTGCAATATGGTTCAGACCGACATTTGGGAATCGGTCTAAAATTGGCCATCTCAATTTTTAGATGAAATTCTGAAAGTTTACAAAATGATAAAAAGAGGTAAAAAAGGGAATATGAAGAAAGAACTGCAATTGCCTAGAAATTGCGCCATCGGAACAGACAGCCTAAAAGTCAACTTAAACAGTGCAAGTCCAAAGATTGAAAATATAATTTCCACAGGCGCTAACATGACGATGATGATGACCTATATGTATGGCTCACACCCACTAAGGGGGATTGGCCAAGAAACGGACAATTAGATATTGCTCTTTTTTTCATGTAGGGCTTACACCCACTTCAGAAGATCGGTTAAGAATTGGGGGCTGATTCCGTGTTAACTGTATAACTAGCGCAAAAATTTCAAATTAATCAAAATCAGTTTAGCTTAAAGATATACGAACTTAGCAAGAAAATAGTTCCTATTGAGTACTTTTCAACATCTGCACAGGCACCCCTATGCGGACATATTAACCAGAAATATCCAAAAGACAAAACTACTTGAAGTATTAAAAATCGTTCCAGCTCAGTAAAATTTTCATATTGAAATAATTTTCTTGCAATATACAGCTGCCTCAACATTTTGTTCTATTGAGCCAAAAGGTGCCGTATTGTCGCTAGTTTTTCACACCCGACATTGGGCAATACACGGGTGAATCGTCTTTGCAACGGCCAGTTGCACAAATCCCCGAGCGTGATAAACAAAATGAAACACAATGGTGTAAGTGGCGATGGACAATTGTCTTTTTTTTTTTTTTTTGCAACAAACGCAGACAGGTTTGTTCTGACACTTCGATAAAAAGCAGCGTTCTGGAATTGAAGGTACACGATTTAAAAAAAATAGTAGAAGTAGAAGAAAGAGAAAGCAGCCTTAGGAATCTACATAAATTTATTCAGGCAACCGGAAGGATACGCTGCTAGTGGTACCGCCAGATGAATCAAATTCTTTGTCCCCCGTCTCCCTGTTTGCTAATTTAGTTTATACATTCTGGTTTATAGAATTCTTTTGCCCTTTTCACCTTTTCTTCTTTCGTTTTTTAAAGGAACTGTAATGTTGTTATCTGTTATTATCAAAATTTTCTCTCTTTTAGCAAGCATTGTGTAAAAAATTTACATTATTATAAATATAGTGTGGCACATCCCCCTTGTAGGCATGAGCCAAGATCTTCTAGGTGACAAGACAAAACAAGTTTTCATAGTGCATATAACTTTGGCGAATAAAATTCAATAATTAAAAGTAAGAAAATAATTGCAGGAGCAGATGTCAACAATAGCTATACGAGATAGCCATGCGAGGAAAAAAAAAAATAAACGCTGAAGAAGCAGCTTCGATAGGGGTAGCAATCAGCTGATAGACAAGAAGAGGGTCAAAAACAAGTTCTTCCGACACACGAAACCGGGTGTTTACTGAAAAACCACGGGCAAAATAGCGAGCCGAGGGTTTCGTTACAGGAACCGTTGAAGCACTCAGCATGCGCCTTGATACGATGAATCAGATGATGCGTGACACAACACAGGGCCTTATCGAAACTCCCGTCTTTCGAAATTCCGTCCCACGTGATTCCAGCAAAAAACAGCGACGAAACCTCTTCGCTGCCGTTTACGTCATCGACTGGGCATTCCGGACGCAACGGGGGTGAGGGCAATCCGGTCTCGTCTGGACGAAACTCTCCTTTATTCGTGGTATTTCGTCCACTCTCACGCTTCCCCGTCGACGCCGAGATCACAGGGAGCGAAGATGACGTCATGCTAAGGTCGTCGTCTGCTAGCAGACGAAAATATGCCCCGGCCGGTCATCGTGTGCTCGCGGTGACCGTTGAACTCTGTTTGCTTGTAAACAATACCATACGAACGCTTGATATGAGGAGCACAGAACTAAACGGGGCTGTATGAAAACTCTTGACAGAGCGACGAGCCGAAATATAGGAAGACAATAACCGATAGAAATGTATAAAACGTCTGGCAGGTGTCCCATCATGTCCTGCGTAGTACAAGTACGCCCCAGAAAATTCAGTTGATTTGTCAGAAAATACATATATGTTATGAAACGAGTAATATAAAAAAAAGAACACTGGTCAGAATATTTTATTGAAATCACATAGGAGATGTCTTGATTCCTGTTACGGGTAAATTGTCAACCTGGGAACTAGAACAAGAAGAAATTATGTGACACGGAAAACGTGAAACCATGCAGCAGACATCAGCATTGATTAAGACGCATTAGTTGTTTCCAATCAACTGTTTGTGTATACCAAGCCGAGGCAGACTACGGAGTTCTGAGCAGGGGAGCAGCGGTTGACGTCAGCGCTCACGGCTAAGCGGATATGAGGCCACTATTTGACCTCATTGTCTCGGATCGAACGAAACACACGTTTGCAACAACAGAGTCAAGAGAGGGGGAGCGCCAAGGAAAAACGTCAACAGCGGGGAGCGCCACGCGCCGACCGTCGCCTGGCCTGGCTGCACGCCGAAAACGGCCGTTACGCCGGCTCATACATTTTTGAATCCGGCGCGAGATACCCGTCGGCCCCCGCGCGCTCTCAAAACCGGAGGTGACGCGCTTGGTTAGATTTCAGGATTGGCGCAAAACCGTACCGGAACAAACGTCAAATTTGACGCGCCCTCCGATTGGCTAGCTCACGGGAATTTTGTGCGCATGCGTCACGTTCGCCTCCAACTTTCGGCGGGAGGAGATGAAAGCCATTTTGCTCCGTGTTGGCGAAGTCGACGGCTCCCCCTCAGAGCGGTCCGAGATTGTAGTTCTCCCTACGCGGTTCGCAACGGCGATGCCGGCTGTGAGAGAGTGCCCGATGACGCCCTGCGCGCCTCGGCGTCACGAGTTGGTAGTGCAACCGACGACCCCGATGCACGAAGGCGGAGGAGACGACAACCAACAGCCGAACATGCACTTATCCCCGAAGACGCTGTTCCGAGAACCCGCGGATGCCGAGTCGCGCATGCTAGACTCGTCCCCGCCGTCCTCGTCCAGTGACCTGAACAGCTCGACGGACTCCGGAGTCGCGCGGTCGCTGGAGCGATCGCCCTCTGTGCCCGTTCAGATGGTGATTCCCGTGCCTCGTCAGGAGACGCCGCCTTACAAGCGCATCAGGGCCCTGCGACTCTTCGGGTCCCCGCAGACTCCCAAGACCCTGCTGCAGCGCGCCGAGGCCCCCAGTACCGTTGTCGTGAGCCGCCAGCGTGTCAGCCAGTGCGTCAAGCCTGTGCAGGCGGCCGCAGCGGTGGTCAACGTGAACCCGTTCTCGCCTCTCCAGACGACCCCGCCACCAGAACCGAGACCGAAACGACCCCGAAAGTGCTTCAGTGTTCTCAGGTATGTTTGTGTCCACTGCCGACACCTGATGTGTCGTTCCGATGAGTCAAGCGTCGTCCGTGAATAACGTCGCTACCTGGTTGTAGTACGTGGGCTTGACTTGTCGGTTTACCGCACCGCCGATGTGAAGCGTATCTGTGTTTACACATCTGCCTGTTCATCGGAAATGCGTGCATTTTCGCTGGCGGGTGGGCGTGGGATGCTCCTACGCCCCCTCAGCCCCTCCCCCCCGCCTCCCGATTTCCTTAAAACCATGCGCACAGATGCTCAGATTGAATACTTGTGCACCTTTTTTTCTGCACGCGAATATCACTCGACTGCATTGGTTCCCACGCTACCTTCTTGTTGACAAAGTACGCTCCGATCTGATATAAAAAAATACATCGCGAGAGCGTTGGGAAGGGCGCTCATCTGAGCCCCGCCAACCCATCTTTTTTTTTTTTTTTCTCTTAACGCTTGCACAAAACCTCGGGGTTAGGAGCTCGCTTTTTTGCGTGTGTACACACACACACCACCCCCTTGTTTTTTTCGCCGTAGACCGTTTGCTATTCTTAGTGACAGTATTCTCAACGGCTCCTCTCGATCTGAAACTCTGCGCTCCGCGAATCGCACCCCAACGCCTGATCAACATTTGAAAACGGACTCCATCGCGCACGTTTGGAGTGTTTATGCAATTTGTCTCGCATTACGCTTACTCCTTGCGCTACTTCCAAGCACTGCAACGGAAGCACAAACGCGTCACTTTTGCTTCTGTACGCGGCGTTACGTTGTCATAGCCACTGCAGCTTGTTTACGCTAGAAAGCTGGCATCCTCTTCGGTGCCGCATGTTTATTCAAACGTGGCGCGCCACGTCCGAAGGGCGGCTCTAATTTCGCCGTTGCAGCGTAAACATGTGACGTATGCACGCTTATTCCCCTGCGTAATTCGCTGCTGTTAGCAATGGGTTGTTTGTTTGTGACGTGAGAAGTTGCGCGTACGTTCACTCTCGCTGACACCTGCTGAAAACGCGCCACGTTTAACGGCCAAGGCCACCGCGCAAGCACATTTTTCGTCGACGAGGAGGCGTGCGAATACAAACATAAAAAAATACCGCGCAAGAAACTGTGCTGCGCGACACGCTCCAGTGCACCACAAACGAGCCCCCCCCTCCCCGCGCCGGCCGATTGCATTAATTTATTTTACTTTTTCCGTTGATGCGGCAGCCATTTTTGTTTGCTTCCTTCACGTTTCGCGCGCGAAACGAGTCGCCGGATTGACTTGTCTGGGCGCGCGGAAAACCGGCTTTTGGGCGAGGAGGAGTGCTGCTGTCAGAGTTTGCGGCGGGCCAAGCAGTCTAGTCGAATGTGGCGGGTAGCGCGCGTCGTCTGCTTTTGAAACGGTGTGCCGTGTCGCCTGCTCTTCTGCTTTATAGAGATTATCGCTTTGAGAGAGTGAAATTTTTTTGCGGAATTTCGTAGCCGTGAAAGTGACACATGTACTGCTGTTTTATGCTGTCCGTGGCTTCTCTTAAATGCGATGTTCTGCTTGTTTCAACCACTGAAACAGTTTGAATGAAAGTGTTTTTAAAGAGAGTCGCCGCAATGGGCGTTGTCTGTTACCGATATTTTTGCTGTAGTTCTTCATTTATTCATTGTAAAAGCTGAAAAAAAAAAGCCGCTCAATTACAAGTACACGCGTCTTAATCGCCAGTTGTGCGCCATCAACGCTACTCTCAGAGTAATCTTATTGCACATGTTCTGTAACTCACGGGATGTTACTGACATTGTAATGCGATAAATGCATTTCCGGGATTGGTGTTTGCAGATTAGTGGCGCATTTCGCTCATTTCTGAGCGTCCTCAATGTAGCACCTGTAAATCCGTTCTTTGGAAGTGTTTTAAATCAACTTTTTTTTTAAAACTTCTGCCTTCGCACGTGAGGGGGCAATAAAATTACGTCATTTTGTAACATCTTTCTTGGTATTTTTTATTTATATTGGAAGCTCACGAGATGAAAAAAATGCACGTTGGAACAGTGCGTTTATGATGCATTTCTCCGAGAATTTTATTGAAGAAGTGACAATTGCGTTGAATGTCGGGTGATGCATTTTTATCGCTAACGTGTATTTTGAAGAAATTTTCGAGATAGAACTTCGTTTCTCAAAATTTTGAAAGCGTCGCATTCACGTGCTCATTGTTTTCGCAATGATCCGCTGTCTGCTGTGTCCTCAAAAATATTATTCCAAATAAAGTTGAAACACACACACTAACGTTTTGGCGTACGCCGACTCTGCGAATGTGTGTGCCCTTGGATGGGAACCTTAAGCTCTGCGAGCGCTGCTTTTGTTTGCACGGCACTCGCGTCTCGGAATGCGAGCACTCCGAAACGTCATTAACTGCGCCGCGGAGATTTCGCGGCTCGACATGCCACGGATTCCACGTTGTCATTAACCTTATCTGCGTGAGTGTGAGTAGACTAGGGAATTCCTGAGACTCCGTCTATAGATAGCCAGCGCCACCGTGCGCGACCGTTTTTCGCTTGTACTATAATGAATTACCTCGGAGCTCCCAAGTATTGGAGGAGCGGTTACCGCTGCTCTGTTTTTGACCCGAAAGTCGGGGGGTGGTCCCTGTGCGGCAGTCACGTTTCGATTCTAGTGGCCCTTTGTGCATAGATTATTTAGGTGGGTGTTAATGAAGTCCAAATGGTCGAAATTCCCGGAGCCCTCCACATACGGCGTCTCTCATAATCGTATCTCGATTTTTGCACGTGAAGCATTAGCAGTTGTTAAGGTCCCAATAAATTTGGTAACGAAACGTTTGCGCAGACCCTCACGTTTCTGTTATTCCGCTTAAGGTCGCGGGTTTGGTTTTCTTCCTCCGCATATCTTATTGCAGCGGAATAATAATAAAACAAAAATGTTTTCATGGTCGCACTTTCAGACTTCACGACGGTAGCTGTATCGCGTAGCCCGCTTGCATGCAATCGCAGGTCGCAGGTAATAACAGGGGGTCTTATTTCTGTGGTTAATTACTGTTAGGATAACTATTAAAATGTACTGAGCAGAAATTGCTGCGAAAATATGTTAGGTAGAACGGATTTGATAAGCTTTGAACAAAAAGTCAACGTCAAACTGCGAGGTGTAACGCCTGTCTAATTTCCCGCGACCTCGGCAGTTGAATGGTGCGTCGCGGCCCGGGTTTCGAACCCAGGACCTATTCGGTCGATCGCTCGTCTGAGCTATTAAGAAAGCCGCATGCGTTGGTTTCGTATTCTGTACATCAACCGAAACATTTTCCTTGAATTGAAGTCCTCTTTTAAACTAGCATGTGAGCTTGGAAATGTAGTTTCTGTACTACTGTCGGATGGCTTCATCCGATCATTTGTTTTTTTTTTTGATATGGGCCCAATTCAGAAACGAAACAAGCTCAAATAATGCTGTATTGGTACATTCATACTCTCAGATTTCAACAGAAACAGTTATAATAAATTACAATTATTATTCACAATTTATTGTTATGGTTTTATAGGTAAGCTGTGAGCCTTATTTGAGCTAGTTTGTTTTGAATTTAACCCATTTCGAAAGAAAAAAGCTCCTTATTTGGTATACGTTCATAAGATGTTCATCACAAGTGGCTGCCTCGATCGACAACTACTCGGCGCAATACTCACATCTGCAACAGACGCTAGGACTTGTAACGCTGTTCTTCGATCGAACGGTCATTGGCCCTTAATGTTGTCCCTACGCTATTTAACGCAGCTGTTGTGAACGTGTCCTCGTATGCCTAACAACACCTGGCGCCTGTTTCTAAAATCTAGAGCGTCGCCTCGCGATTTTTCACGTCTGAAATTTCGATAAAACCATCAGGTTTCTCAACTGTTGCGTGGAAGACTGGCGTTGTTCTAAAGGATAGACGCACAAAAGTTCCGCAAAAAAAAAGTCTCAGAAGAAAAAAAAAGCATAACTGTAGCTCGTCTGTTCGAATGCTGGCAATAAGTATAATAATTATCCGTGATTTTAGATGTCGGAGCACGATTGATATCGACAACCTGGGGTTTTTCAAGGTATGCCTAAAAATTTATATACACAGACCTTCAGAATTTTCTCCCTCTTTCTTGCTCGACTGCTGATGCGCAGGTCGCGGGTTCGAGTCCTGGCCGCGGCCGCCGAATTTTTCGTGGTGGCGAAAATGCTCGAGGTCCGTGTGCCGAGGTTTACGTGCAGTTTTTTAGCCATAGTTTGTCGAGATTACCGGTGGCCTCCACTACGGCGTCCGTCGCAATCATATCGTGGTTTTTGGTACTGTAAATCTCAATTATTACTTAAATGCCGCGGCCGGGAATCAAATCCTCTTTTTTTGGGCCAGCAGCCATGCACCGTAATTATTCCGCCGCCGCGCCTGCTACGGATTATTAATTGGTACGCCTAGTTTGCGCCTAGGCCTTATCCACGATCGTTACCCACTCACCTCGTCCATAGCCTCCTAGATTTCCCTTGCCTGCCGGATTATCGGCGGTCACATGGAAAGCGGCCGTCGTCGGAACATATGGTGGTGGCGCCTCCTAAGTAGGGGTGTTTTTAAGTAAGTTATTGCGTTTTTGGTACCTTAAATGCAACAAAAATAACGTAAAAAGTTTTGAAAAAGCGTAAACGTAAACATAATTAACCCTACGTAAGGGACGCTGTTATTCAGCAGGCAACTTTTTCAATACAAGGCATCCTCTGAAATTTGTAGCAAACGCCAAAATTGCCGATCTAGCCGCTATAGATAACCGGCGTTTCGCGCTCATCCAGCAGGCAAGGGAAATCTAGGAGGCTATGCCTCGTATGACATCCCCCGTGCACTTATCTTCTCGCAGGCGCGCGATTGCCTTTGTTTCTCAGCTATCGTCCATATAAAAAGGTTCTTCGCGGAATCGGGTACATGGGCTGAATCGGCGATATAGCACGGCTTTCAGAAAATATCCCCACTCAAGTGCTCCTGCTCGCAACACTCTCAATAATAGACTTCCATTGTTCC